TTTGGACACCTTGAATACTCAGCTTACGAATCTACACCCGTGGCCATATTGTCTGGCGTTGTTGGCTTATCGGCCATCAACGGGATCGGCTTATCAACGAAAAATCGCGAAGCAAATTTGACTTAAATTATTGCCGAATCAGTAGGTTAAGTACTTAGCTATTTCAGTAGCTCAAACATTCTATTGCTCTTCTCGATCTAGATATGTTTGTGGGTGCGGGAAGGTTTAGACAACTTAGTAGACTAAACAGTCTGGCATTAAATTCATGCATGGGATCGGCATAATACTTGTGTTAAATTTTCATATAAGGTGGATGGGCACTAACTAGCTCACCGTGCCCCCATGCGCTCACGCCTATGGGATCGGTCAAAACTTGTCAGGACTTGATACAGAAAGAAGGGCTCATGGTTTCTCGGCATGATGAGTTGTCGTGCTAAGCCCAACTTGGAACGTTCAACATTACCAAAACTGAACGTTTAAATGTTTGATTCGTTGTTGATATCCAGCATGTCGTTCCCATGTGATATAACAATGAAAAGCATTTCATTCATTGCCCTGACCGCTTCGTTTTGTTGTTATTCATATCACCAGTTCATCAGGGCGTTTGCGCACACCTAATCAGATTCGAATAAGCGCACCGCCCATAAAAACAACATGTCAGCGATGAACTCCTTGAGATGTCACTGCTCCTCTACGCCTCCAGTTGTGGGTCACACTTTCTCTATCAGCTCTCAACACGGCTGAACAGCGTTCCAGCCCAGGCAATGTCAGCCAAACTCCACCCGTTGTCACTAGATGGCACGGGCGGCGCCCGCGTCACAGGCACCCCAAGCTGAGTGCCGCCGTTCCGTCGCCCGCGTGGCATTGGCCGTCCGCGGGCAGCCGGCGCGCGCCGGCTGATGCGATGCCGCACCAGGCAGGCGTAATCCGTTCCATGGCCCCATGTTTGGAAGCAGGCTGTGCACACGGAACATTCGATATTTGATGACCACCCTTGGATCTTTCCGCTCATCAGAATGCCTCGGAGGTTGTCGTGGTTCTGGCTGGAGAGAGAGAGAGAGAGGGAGAGAGAGAGAGAGAGAGAGAGAGAGAGAGAGAGAGAGAGAGAGAGAGAGAGAGAGAGAGAGAGAGAGAGAGAGAGAGGAGAGAGAGAGAGATGAGAGGAGAGAGAGAGAGAGAGAGAGAGAGAGAGAGAGGACAGAGACAGAGGAGAGAGAGGAGAAGAGAGACAGGAGAGAAGAGAGAGAGAGAGAGAAAGGGAGAGAAGAGAGAGAGGGAGAGAGAGAGAGAGAGAGAGAGAAGAGAGAAGAACAGAGAGAGGAGAGAGAGAGAGAGAGAGAGAGAGGAGAGAAGAAGAAAGAGAGAGAAGAGAGAGAGAGAGAGAGAGAGAGAGAGAGAGAGAGAGAGAGAGAGAGAGAGAGAGAGAGAGAGAGATGAGAGCGAGAGGAGGAGAGAGAGAGAGAGAGAGAGAGAGAGGGCTATTGTGTGCCTGCGAGTCGTTTCGGTCATTAGCCTGGTCACCCTGCCCAGCCTGGCAGTCATTGATCGGGCCGGGTTACCACGCTTGTTCACGGCGCTGAATTAAATATGGACCTGTTCTGTAACCTGTCCTGAACTCCCCACCACTGGGGCCAGGGGAAAACGAAACCATACGAGCTCCACGCACGTGGCTAGCATGTTACGCGCTGCTTTATAGACCCCGCCGTGGTGAGCTGCATAAATGTCGAGGTTTGAAACAAGTTGGTGGGCTATGACCGTTGCAGTAGATTATAGACGTCGTTGCTTGCAAAACAGGACGGAAAGGAAGCATTAGGCACCGAATACTGAATCAAGTCCATAAACTTCAGTGATCTGCAGCGATGCCATGCGTTCCGCCCGCCACAGCCAGGAAATCTGCCGCGTCGGACAGAACCGGTTCTCACTGAGTCACAATGACGGGTGGAACGCTCCAGAAGTCAGCGGTTCGCACTTCGCAGGCCGCCGGCAGCGGGGGATGCCTTGGCGACCTGTGCCGCCATTTTGTCTGCCGTCGCCAGCGTCACTCAGCCCCAGCGACCCGCCGCCTGCGGCAGCACCAGGCGCCGGCGATCTGATGCCTGCATGGATGGTGTAGCTCCGCGGCGGGGAGGTTTCTCCCGGCAGAGCCCCGCCGCCAATCCGGCGGGCTCGCCGGGAGGCTGCGGCGCGGATCGCCACCACGACCTCAGCGCGACCGATGGACGCTGACTGGCGCTGAACTGTCGGCCTCCCTCAGCATGGCTTGTTCCACGTCTCACGAAGGCACTCTGAGACCGTGACCAGCGGATGCTCTGCATATGCTTGTCATCCTTTTACTGATAGTCGCACCCCGCAGAACGTAAGCTGATTATGCCATTACGGACTACATTTATAGCTAACGGGCGTCGTACAACGCGGCCATCATCTCCGCCCAAGCATGATCAATGTTTAGTGCCGTCAGCTTATCTCTTACGCAATATCCCGTCAGAACATTGTTCGTTCCGAATCATTTTCCCGCCAATTTCTGTGTAAATGTGCTTTGACGTTGCTGGAAACCACGTCTGGCAAGGCTCATCGGTGTCACGCCCGTAAAATGGACGCAGGCAAATCGCGGCAAGTACATCATACCAGGCAGAGGATCAGTACCTGGCACCAGCAAAGGTCGCCACAACGGAAGGGTGAGGACTATTCCAATGCGTGATACCGCAGGTCTCGGGAGCACCAGACCGCATCCGAGGAATGCCCGACCTTGATCTGCTGATCCGGATTGGTGAGCCGCAGCTGTGGCAGTCCTTCCGCTGACTGATATGCAGAGCAGAGCAGAGAAGCGAACAACGTACCCGAGCTTGCGATCTCGCTTGCACGTCTTGGTGGATTGTTTATAAGCGATATACGTGTTTATAGGCAATGCATAAATGCAATTAGTGTCAGTTCATTCGCCGGATCGCATCGTCATAAGATAAATGGGATCTGTTCCAGCCGCGTCAGCGATAGTCATGCTTTGCAAGTTGGAACGGCGTGGATTCACTTTCCCCGTCCATTTGGTGGATGGTGTATGGATCAAACATACTTTAACCCGCAATTGCCAGCAATCAATCCTCAAATCATCAATCACCTTCAGGCTACAAACGCCGAAGTTCCCGACAGCTAAAAGCGGCGGGGGTTGCATTGCAGTTGTTGGCAGTTGTTTGGTAGCGAAAACGTCCTTGGGCATTGGACCCGCGATGCATGAGGTATTTTTCGAAATTCATCATTGATACAACATTGACACATCAGTATCAGCAGCCACACACACACACACACACACACACACACACACACACACACACACACACACACACACACACACACACACACACACACACACACATATATATATATATATATATATATATATATATATATATATATATATATATATATATATATATATATATAGTTGGTATATACATATATATATATATATATACATATATATTTACGCACCAGTATATATCATACCCTTATATTATCAATGATGTATCAAATTATTCATAGATCATTATCAACTACGAATTTATACACTCTTATGTTATCTCGCAACGCGTTTTACCGCACAGCGGCTGCATCTTTGGGCAAAAATGATTAAAATCACAAAGATTTAGACATACGATGCAACCACAACCAATGCTCTAGAAGTATATTCCATGTGGAACGACCAGCCCCAAGAACTAAAACTCAAGTTGATTTCTCACAACTCCTAATAGGCATGACGCTGTCATGGGATTTAGTGACGGACGAAAACTGGATAACTTCTCCAACGTTTCCAGTCCCAACACGGTCTATATTCTGGCTAAGATATAATATTTTCGGGTAAAACAGAGGTATTACATGCCTGTGAATATTCTCTTCTTGGGCAAGGTTCATTTTTGGCCGGAAGTTTTCCCGTCCGGATAAATCCGTCTAAATGCAAATAAAATTGCACATCAGCAGCATTGTCTCACTCTCAGCTGTCTCATTCAGCAGCTTTTGGGAAAATCTATCCACATGAGAAAATATATCCCGCTAAACCTGAGCCCTCCTCTTTACGACAATATTCACACGCAAGGTCATACCTAAGTTTTACCATATTTCAGATGACGGACAAATCGAACACGATCAGTGCGACTAGGCACGACCAGAGCCGATATGACGTCATAAGACACGCGGTGATTGGCACCCATGGCGTCGAGCCTCAGGCGCAGCTTTAGTCCACAGCCAAGAAAAGCCTGGTGAGCCACCGGAAGCTTTCTATTGAACAGCTGGAGCAGTTGCGAGCGTGAAGGTTCGTTTGATTACAAGGCTCACTATCATCACACTTAGCTAGATAAAACTGTGTTTAAGATGGAGTTGACTGAGTGGGAGAAAAAGGGGTGTGGCGTAAAGAAGAAAAAACGGAAGAGGCCAGTCACAATCTACTGCACCGTCGTGCTGCACAGCAAGTACTACCGAAAGACAGACCCACACGCGCGAATCCCGTGGTCAAATTTCCGACAAGGTGCAGATATCTGACATTTTCAGGCGGTTGTAATGAGAGTCTTCTGAAGTGTAGCAGTCAAACAGACAACATCCAGTTTCTATTGCAAAAACGGCGCTAACCCCCAGCCGGGTGGCGCAGGCTGGAAGGCTGCGCTATTCGTATGCAGTTTGCGTCAAAACCAGAGACCTGCGATTGTCGAATGCCACGCCTCTTATAAATGGACCCACAGGAGGCATAATGTTCTGAATCTCCACAGTAGCATTATTCACAATCACTGGAACGATGTGTTAATTTGCGAGATTCATTTCTCCGGGAGTTAACTCCGACCGCCACATGTTCAACCTATCGATTTTCCTTTTCGAGGCTGTCCGGCCGCGCGCGCGAGGCCGTACGGTCTATCTGCTGTATCTTTACTGTGTCAAATAGGTTGTGAGTGCCGCTGGGGCATATTACCGCGAGGGCGCCGAGAGCGCGGGCGGCCGCGTGCCAGTCGGCGAGTGGTCCGCGCGCGGTGAGGAGTGGAGCGGACGGGCGGCCGGCCGGCGGCAGCGAGCACGCGCTGGCCGCCGAACACGGCTCGTCGATTTGTAGCCGAGCAGCCGAGTTGGTGGCGCGTCGCCCGGCGGGATGGGCGCCCGCCTCGCGCGGTGAAACAAAGAGCACGTGCCGGGGCGCGCGCGCCGCGCGATGGTGTCGCTGGATCAGGACGGCGAGCAGTGCGGCAAGACGGAGAAGGGCGGCGGGGCGGAGCGGGGTGACGACGAGGAGGCGATGCGAGGCGACCTGAAGGCCGAGCCGTCGCCGGCCGTGGGCGCGGAGGCCGGCCGGCCGGCCGCGGCCGAGGCGGACGCCGACGCGGCGCCTCCGCAGCCCGAGTACGACGACTTCGCGATGCCGGTGGCTGGCAAGTCGCGCCTTGTGCGTGGCCGCGGCTGGCGCGGCGCCGACGGCGAGTACGTGCGCTACAAGTGCTTCGACGACGACACTGAGTACCTGCCCGGAGGTGAGTGTCGCCAGCGCCGGCGCCGCGTCCGGCCGCCGCCGCCAGCGACGCGACGGTTGGCGCGATCGGCACCGCCTCCGCCTCACGGCCGCATCGATGCGTAGTTGACGTGGTGACGCCATCAACTCTGCCGGCCCGCGTTAGCTTGCGTTTGACAAAGAGAGCACTGCGCCCAAACTCGGGCGTGCTTTTTGTAGCCTGCCGCGGGTTTTTGCCACCGCTGCGCCCATCACCCCGTGTTGTTATTAGTCGCGGCACTTCCCCGCATTACGAACCATTAGCATGTCCGGCAAGGTATTATGGATAATTCGCTGACATGCATGCTTGCCTTTCAACTCATCCATTATCTAATTAAGCGCAACCGGCGTCTTGGCGTGGATCACGCCCGGATTACCTGCCGATTTCGCAATCCTCCACACCTTGCCGCTGTGCTGCGCCAGAGATAGTCGCGATCAACCGCGCCGGCGACAGCCGCCGACCCCGCGGCGTTGCCTCTCACTCGCCGCCGCCGCGGCGCGTGCAGCCCGCAGCAGCCGGCCGCCGCTGACCGGGCCGTCACGAGTCGCCGCGGCGACCCCGCCGCGCGCCCGCCGCGAATCGATGGCGTCCGCCGCACAAATCCGCCCGTGATGGGGTGCATCAGCTGGCCGACCGCGGCGGCGCCGGTTACTTACCTGCTGTTGCGTCACCTGACCCGACCGGCCGCGCTGCGCCGGCGGCGACACCCGCCATCGGGTGGACGCGGGGCGGGCTTGGCTGGCCGGCTGGCTAGGTCGCCGGGTCATGATGACGTGCCCGGCGGCTGCGGAAGGGAAGCGTTACCCGGAGGGAAGCGTGCCGGGTGGGCCAGGTATTTGCCGCGGGACTTCAGGACTAAGGTTTCTGTTCAACCAGGCTTCGTTGGCGACCGGCGGTCCCTCTCTTCCTCCGTCTCTCCCTCTGTCTCTCTCTCCCTCTCTCTCTCTCCCTCCCTCTCTTCCTCGTTCTCTCTCTCCCTCCCTCTCTCCCACTCCCTTCCTCTCCCTCTCTCCTCTCTGTCTCCCTCTCTTTCTCTTTCCCGTCCTCTGTTCACCTTCCTTCTTTTCATTTTATTGCATTTGCTCGCCGTCTCAGCATATCACGATCAGCCATCAGGCTCTAGTTTGCATTTACCCACCGCGAATTCCCAGCTTTCTCCACCACCGCCCGATACCTTGATCATTGGCGTGTTCCTCAGCCATCGGATCTCGCACCGCCGTCCGGACCGCCGTCGCTTGCTCCGGGGCCTGCATCCACGGCCTCCCCTCAGGCGCCGCGGCTCGAGCCCGTGCGGCTGCCCCCTTCGCGCTCCCCAACCGAGACCCTCCCTTCGGCAAACACGACCGGCAAGCGCGCCCGAGAGGGGAAAGGGAGGGGACGCGTCGGGGAGCGATTAGCGCCCGCCCCCCTCCCCACGCCCGGTGAAGCGATCCGGGGCTGGGGCCGACCGGAGGCCGGGGACGTGCGACACGGCAGTGGCGCCCCAGGCGCTGGGCCGGGTCACGCCGCCGCCCATGGGACAGTCGCGCGGCGGCCGGCGCGGTGCGCGCCATTTTGCCGCGGCGGTCACGGCAAACACGGTGCGGCGGCGCCTGGCGGCGGCGGCGCGAGGTGCGCACGATTGATGCGCTAATGATGAGGACTCGGGGCGTTCGGTGCGCCGCTGCGGCGGCGAGAGAGCCGCCAGCCGCGCGGAAAAACACGTCCGCGGGCACTGTGCACGCCCGGGGAGCGGCCGGAGGATGCGCGCGCCGCGCCGCTTTTTGCCGGGGTGCGGTGCGGCAGCGCGCCGCTGTGCCATCGTGCGCAGCGGGCCTTCGCACCTGGGCACCAACCGAGCCCGTGTGTCCTACGCCCCAGCGGGCCTCTCGGCCTTCGCGACCTGGCCAGCGCCCGGACTTCCGCGCCGCGGCCGGCCGCCCTGTCCCCCGTCACCGCTCCGCTCGGCTTCCTCGGTGGCGGTGCGCGCTGGGAGAGGCGAGCCGACCGCCCCGGGAACGACGAGCGGAAGACCTGGGTAACTGACCGCGGCCGGCATCCTGCCAGCGCGGCGAGCGGCGCCCAGGCCGGGGAGGGCCGGCCGCGGGGCGCGCGGGCCGGTCGCCGCCCGCACACCAAGGCCGGCAGCCGAGCAGCGCGTCGCCTGTTTGTCCAACACTTGAGACGGGGGGAGGGGGAGGGTCAGGGCTGAGGACGAAGCCGTATACGGAATAAATCGGTTTGTTCTCAATGGTTGCCATAGCGCCGGTAGGTTTTCATTTCCTGGCGGCAATTTGCGTGACAGACTGCAGCCATCGGAGCCACGGCCATGGTGAACCATCGGGAAGTGTAGGTGGGCCTTCTAGCGCTCTGCGTCAGACCGTGTAGCCGTCAACTGATCGCCGGCCGGCGTGAGCTGTCAGTACTGCACCGGCCACCTCGCGCGGACGCGGCAGGTGCCGCTCGGCTGCAGCCTCTGGCAGCAGCTGGCGGGCGCGGCGGCCGCCTGCGTGCGTGCCCAGTCACCATGTCCGCCGCCGCCGCCGCCGCCGCTGTCGTCCGGACGCAAAGCGCACTTTCTAGCGGCCGTGCGGTGGCCCGTGCTGGGTCGAGACGCGCGCGCGCGAGCGCGCGAACATGGCACCGCGCGCGAGAACGGGCGTGCGCGACGCCGGCGGATCTGTGCACGACCGCGCGGGAACGCCCCATTGATTGGTGTGACGTCACGCGGTCAGAGGACGGCCGGCTGACGGCCGAGCCGGTTACCTTGGACGACTCCGGCCGTATTCGGGTGGCGGACGCGCGCGGCGCCGACGGCCGCCACGCGGCGTCAGCGGTTGGCTGTCGGCGTCGATGACGGCTCTTGTGGCGAGCCAGGCCGGACAGCCGCGGCGTGACGAGATGATGGTGTCTGCGGCCCGCGGCCCGCGGCTCCCGTGGGGTAGAAGTCCGAGAGAGAGAGCATGTTTCTGAAATTAAAGCTGTCGCCTGACTTTAACACTAGACCGTCGAGCGATAGATTGTTCACTGGATTGGTTGATTTTGGTGTGTTTGCTGCATTGCATAATATTCGTCAACAGATGTAGTGTTTTCGATATAAGAGCATGACAAAAAGGCGCAGAACCATCAAACATGACCATAAAAACAACAATAACCATAAGTATCATGGTGTGTATGACAATAGGCCGCACAACAGGGCGAGCGTTGTGAGACTTCGCTGCTGCTATTTGTTTTAGAATAAAGACATTTCAGAAGCCTCCGACATTCCAGCCACGTGTAGTTTGACGTCCGGGGAATCTTGTGAGAAATAAGCTTCAGCTCTGAGCAACGTTTACCCACGCTGCAGAAGTGGCATACGAGCGATGACTTGCATGTGATGATGACACATTAGGTAGATGACCTCAGGGCGGAACACAGCACACAGGGTGACCACTACTATGGTGGTGGTGGCACAAGCTGCCATGATGAAACGCGTGTGCTTAGGTCTGGTTTATTTGACGAATGGCGATTAATGCGGCAGTTGTTTTTAGCCCAGCCACATCGTTGCATGTACACAAAATTTAGACAGCGAGTTTTTCCGGTGAGGTTCCGCGGTATATTTTGTTTAATGTTCGTCGTGTGGAGTTTCAAAGCTTTGTTTTTCGCATCGCGGGGATGCTCGGGACGGATACAACTAACCAGACCATAGCACCCGTTTCATTTGGGCAGGTTGTGCCGTCGCCACCACACTAGTGGTTACACTTACTGTATTCGTCCACGAAGTCATTTGCCTAGTTTCAACGTCACATGCTAAGTCATCGTTCGCACGTCGCTTCTCAAGCGTAAGTAAACATTGATCAGAAGCGAACCTTGTGTCTAATGAGATTACTCTGGACGCCAAAAAACGTCTGGTTCAGAGTTTTGCGAGTTTCTGAAATGCCTTGATTCTAAAAATTGGTGCCGAGGAAGCCGTAACCGTGAAACATATGCCCTGTTTTATGGTCCATTGTAATAAATGCCATGATACTGGGAGTTATTGTTCCTGTTATGACCATGATGTCAAGTCTCAGCTTTGCACTCAGTCAAATTAAGAACCATTCCATCGAGAGCGTGGGAACAGGTGTGGCCGAAAACCATCATCTACTCCACTTTTTGTGAACGCTAAGCATTAGCACGGTGATGTGTGGTAGAATGAAGTAAAAGGTGGTGTTTTCGCCACACTCTTTGGCCGTTTATACGCTGCTGCGCGCTGTCCCTTACAGAGGCGTGGCGTGCGGCATGTGGTGGTTGGGTAGCTCTCAGGTTGGGTCATGGGGATCTCACTAGGCAGATCTCACTCGGCAGTCGCTCCCCCCCCCCCCCCCCTCCCTCCTCCAGATAGACGAGGGCTCGCTCGAACAGCCTCTGGGACCGCCGCGAGCATTTATCCGAGGCACCGACCTCCTCTGTCTCCTGTCCACCATCGAGTCTGCCTCCGTTGTACGCTGAGACAAATTATTGGGGCACTGGGACTCAACTGGTTGTCAGAACAGCCAGACGTAAATCGTGCATTTTTCAGCTCGCGCTCCGCACGCGAAGGCAACCTTTGGCACACTCCCGAACACCTGAATCGCCCCCTCCCCTCCTCAGCCCACCTGGCTGCCATTGCGCGGCCAGATCATGACCGGGAGAAACTGGTCTTCAATCGCTAGACCGACGCCGAGGGAATCCACTCAATGTTGGCCGTCGATTTGGCGACCCGTTCGGTTCCGTTGGTGCGCGTTCGAGAGGGGACGCTCGTTGTGTCGTCGTTGGGCCGTCGATTTGGCGACCCGTTCCCCGTTCCGTTGGTACGTGTTCGGGAGGGGACGCTCGTGTCATCTTCGCCACACGGGGAGGCTCTGACGTACCCGCAGGAGCACTCGTGATATCTTATCGCGGGTATTTTTCTTCGCTGGTTTGGCCACCACTCCAGGGTGTTTCTCGGCGCATCAAGGCACACCATTGGACGCAAACCTGTCTGAAGTTGCATAATTTAGCAATGC